CTCAGTCAATCCACCCCCGCCCATGCCTATCATCCACCCACCGCAGTCATCGCCCCAGGAAGGAAACCAGTTCATTGCTTTCAATCCCTTTTAAACGCTTCACACACCTGGACCGTACTAACACTTCTTACGCCCAATATACTTACTCATCATTACTACTTAATTTAAACACTTCGTTAATAGTCATGTCGAATCAAGTTCACTTCTTCCTTTTACTCAAGTCTATGGCTCCTAGGCTGGTGGAGCTTTGTGAATAGGATTATAAGTTGATTTCTTTAAAGATAGGCATCGTACCTGAGTTTCTTTCAACTTGCTGCAAATCGTGCTTGAACCAAACATAAGAAAAGCGTGACATGTTGCTGTATTGAGGACGTGGCGTCCTCCTTGTATATCCTACTTATATAGTAAGTTACAATTAAACTGTGTTCTGTATTGCACTTCTTTTACTCACCTAACAGCCTGCGTGTCTGGGCAATCATATCCTATATAGCCGTTAGATTGACCCAACCCCTCAGCATTCTCCCGGCGCGTCTTTGAAAAAAAAAACACAAGTCCAAATGTGCAAAATATAAAAAAACAAAATAAAAAAAAATAAACAAAAAAAAATCGCCATTGTAGCAAACTTCTATAGATGACCATATTACAATCATTTTTTCTCTTTTTTGACACGAAATAGCCTGACATTAAACCGTGCGTATACAGCTTTGCTTAGCTGCTTTCTTACTTAAAAACCAAGAATAGAAAAACAGAAAAAACAACAACACAACAAAATCATAAGACTGCTTATAACTTTTGACTTAAATTCTCGCGTGTGTCACACAAGTTGTGAGATCCCCCGAAACCACCCTGTTTATAACAAACTTGCTTTCCAGTTACCCTATTTAGTTAGTAATAAAAAAAAAAATCATGCTATTTTCTTTATCTATTAATCGTATTGTACCCAAAAAGAAGAGAATTCTGCAAGATGTTGACGTATAGTCTCATATCAAAGAAGGGATAAATAAAAGAATGAATATTTTCATAAACGCGAATATCGATTAAAAGGTTTATAAATCTAAGCACAAAAGTCCAATATATCAACAGGGAATTTAATGGCGATAATAAAAGAATTATGTTTTAATGATACTGCATTCTTCTCCATGCCTTTTTGCTTCACTCTCACTCTCTCCTCTCTCTCTCTCTCTCTCTCTCCTCTCTCATCTCTCTCTCTCTCATCTCTCTCCTCTCTCTCTCTCTCATCTCTCTCTCCCTCTCCCTCCCTCCCTCCCTCCCTCCCTCCCTCCTCTCTCTCTCTTTCTCTCTTCTCTCTCCCTCCTTCCCTCTCTCTCCTCACCCAACATCCTCCCCTTAATTTCTCCAATCGCCATCTGTCATCACTTCTCCATTACTCACCACAGCGTCGTAATGATACAAAAATATAATTCCTTAATACATTATTGCAGTAACTCCCATTGCCTTTGTTGCAAGTGATCCTCAGGCACATCGTGAAGAGGTGGATCTCACAGAGCGGCCAATGTGGGTGCAGTCTGGCAGGCCTTTTCGTATTCATGGATGGTGATGGTTGGTGATGCATGTGCATGGTTGCGGGGGTGCATGCAGCATGAGGGTGATGGTGGTGGTGGAAGGTGTGTGGCTGGTCATGATGTTGGTAATGATGGTGGTGTGATGTGATGATGCAGTGATGGTGGTCGGGGGTGATGTTGCGTGATTGATGATTAGGTGGGTAGGCTGACTGATGGTGATGATGTGATGGTACGGTGATGATTATTGATGGTGGTGGTTGATGATGGGTGCGTGATTGTGGTGGTGATGAGGATGATCAGGTGGTGAGAAGATTGGTGATGATGCATGTGCTGATGAGGATGATGTGCCGTGAGACGATGATGGTCGTCGTGGTAGGTGATGAGGATGATGCGTCGAAGGATAGTGATGATGGGTGGTTGATTGAGGAGTTGATGCATGTCATTACGGTTGATGATGTTGCATGGTCGGCTGGTGCATGATGATTGTGATGATAAGGTGAGTGGTGACGTTGATGATAGCTGGTGCGTAGCGTGATGAGGAAATGGTTGGTGCGTGATGATTGCGTGTGTAGGTGATCGGTTGATGATGTTGAGGGTGGTGTGAATGATGGATGCATGATGCCCGTGGTGCCGCTGGTGAATGGCAGGCTATGAGCGATGGTGGTGGTGATGATGGTCGGCCGTGTGTGTGGGGCTGATGATGGTAGGTGGTGGTGCATGATGGTAACAGGCTGCGTGTATGGTGGTGTTGCTGGATGATGCGTGGTGGCGTGCATTGATTGATGTTGCATGGTCGTGCAATGATTTTGGTCGCGTGATGAACGATGCGATGACGGTTTTAGATATGTGCATGAGGATGATGGTCTATGTAATGACGGTGCGTGCAATGATGATTGTCGATGCGCAGGTGGTGATGATTGTGATGACGAGTGGCCTGGGTGGTGATGATGATTGTTGATGGCAAGGTCACTAGGTGCATGATTGTGATGCACGGCGTGGTTGATGATGATTGCTGATAGATGTTGGTGGTAGGTGATGAGGCATGCATAGTGATGCTATAAATGCATAGGTAGCTCGTAGATGAATATGGTGGTGGATAATGATACGTGACAGGTGATGCATGGCCCCGTAGTCCATGAGGATACTGATGCATGGTGCATGATGACGCGTGGTAGCTTGATAATTGATGGTGTGCATGATTGTGATGGTCGAGCTGGGGGTTGAATTGATATGTGCCATGACGGTGCGTGGTGATGATTGTGGATGACGGCGGTTCGGTGACGATGTTGATGACGTCGGTGCGCTGATGAATTATTGTGATAGTGGTGCGATGCGTGATGATGATTAGTATGGCTATAGTGATGCCGTGCATGACCCTTAGCGTGGCGTTGATGATGCGTGGTGATGATGATAATATGATCTGGTGATAGACGGTCGGTGGTGATGATTAGTGATGTAAATGATGCGTGGAGATATTGATATTAGTTAATGCTAGTGTTGATGAAGGATGGACTGATTGGTGATAATGATATATATAGTGAATGATGATAATAGTGAATATGATGATAATAGGAAGATGAGGATATAATAGTGAAGATAATTATGACAGTAATAATGATTCCATGTTTATGCTGATGATAATACACATCAACTCCAACACAGACATAAACAACAGCAACTGTAGTACCATTTACGGAAATAATAAAGCCTAAAAACACCAACAGATTCCCTCTTGTGTTTTCCAGGTGTCGTATCAGTGACGTTCGAGTTGCCAGAGCTGCCGCCAGAGGGATGGTGGAGCGTGAGGGTCATCGCCAGAGGACAGAGAGAAGAGAAAAAATTCCTCGTCCACAAAATTTATGAGCCGCTTTTCGAGGTAAGTTGTGGGAGTGCGTGAGAGAGAGAGAGAGAGAGAGAGAGAGAGAGAGAGAGAGAGAGAGAGAGAGAGAGAGGGGGGGGGGGGGTAGAGATACATATATACAAACACACACACACACACACACACACACACACACACACACACACACACACACACACACACACACACACACATATATATATTATATATATATATATATATATATATATATATATATATACAGATAGATAGATCGAGAGAGAGAGAGAGAAAAATATACATATATATAGAGAGAGAGAGAGATGGAGAGAGACAGTCAGGCAGACAGACACACAAATAAGCAGACAGACAATTGTGATAATGAGGATAAAAATTATGATAATATTGATGACGAAAATAATTCTATTGATACTGCTTGCCGGGATGGTGAAGACATTTAATATACGATCTAAAGAAACGTAAACAAGTCGACCCCCAAAGATGAACAGTGAAGGCTAACTTATTAGCATTAAAAAAAGAAAACACCACAGATGCACACACACACACACACACACAGCACATACACACACACACACACACACCACACACACACACACACACACACACACACACACTACACACACACACACACACACACACACACACACACACACACACACACACACACACACACACACACACACACACACACACACACACACACCCTCTGACTATATCATATATTTATGTTTTACTTACACTTATTTAATAGTGATTTCCGTTCGATTATATAATTTTCGTGAGAGCCACTTAAATATATACATTTGAGGTATCGCTTTATTAACATATGTCTGATGATGAATGCAGGTGTAATTGTCATAGGAAAACACCTGTTGGATTAAGACTGCGTAAATCGAGATAATAGTATAAGGAGAAAATATGTTTTTACAATATGTAGTCTCTCTTTTGTCTTAGAAAAGAAAATGAATGATTACGTAAAAGCCTGAAGTAAATGGATCATGTAATTTTTTTCTTCTGTTTTCGCACTGAGCATTATCCCTTTTCAATGGGCAAAATAGTGAAAGAAAGAAAAGAAAAATTAAACAAAAAATGAAGCTTGTGATAATAGAAAACAACTTTTCTGTTGGTTGCTAAAATGAGTTGAATTTCAAAGAGGCAGAAACATTTAGAAAACAACAAAAATCAATAGAATGTAAGTAAAACGACTCTATCATAAACAAGTTTACCGGGTACATGATTATACGAGTATTAAAGGATCAGGTTTACCCATTCAGAAATCACCTCTTCGCTGCCTTCATTCACCAGAGGATAAATATGCAAAGAATTATGTAATTTCTCTTCGCCAAAACAAAATACGCACGAAATTCGCAGACCGGTTTTAAAAATCCCAGACAAGAACTATTCATTGTGTACAAGTTTCCTTCTTGCTTTCTCTTTCTCTTTAAACATTTTCTTATTCAGTGAGACTGTTTATGTACATCTTTTTAGTATGTTAAGTACATAATTCGGTGAGTTGTAAACATCCTTCTGATGGGCTCACTGCCTTCATAAATACGACAAGAATTGTAAATAAACTTTAATAAGCAAGCAGAAAAAGCGTGTACAAATTTCACAGCCAAACCAAGTGTTTATGAAGCAATGTATAAACATATACGTAAATAACAATAATCATTAGGAAGAGGAAAGCAGATCTATTTAAGTGAACAGCAAAGCCCCAAATCGCTTCGTTCGAATGGCATGCTGCGTGATGGATTTAGCCTCGCCAGTGTCCGGATGAGTGTTACTGGTTAATATGTTCACAATACTGTCTTTCCTCTTCCGACCATTCATGCTGAAGCGGTCATGCATGCTTTTGTCCTTCAATATAATTCTTTGTTCGTGTCTCGTTTTCTCCTTTTTTGGCATATTTTTTACCCCGCTGTTTATCGACTGTTATTGTGGTTGTTTTGTTTGTTTGACTTATTGTCTGTGTATTTCTCTCGCTTTTCGTTTCTTTCTTAAGGGTTTTATGTCAAGGAGTTTCAGGTTGCCTTGTCATTGTTGATTGCTAAAGCATTATCTAGATAATGTAATAATTATAGTACATATAGGCCTAGTAATTCCAAGAAAAAGGAAACCATTCTAAATATAAGCCATACACATAGCAAAACATTTACCCAAAGCATTTTAAATAGTTAATTGTATTATAAACGCTCTTTACGCTTTCCGCTTTCTGAAGTTTCACTTTACATTGTTTCAGCGTAACCTAAGTTTACCAGGACAATGTATAGAGTTGGTCGACATTAACAGAAAGAAAACCTTTTTATTCTCCAAGCAAAATGATGCAATAATGACAAGTCAAAGGTGAATGTGTTCCTTCAGTTTCGAGAGTATTGTCCATTTCATACGATTTTAAGAAAAATCGTAAGTGTTTAAGAAATTGTTTTTGTTGATGCAGACTATAATTGCAGTCATAGCAATTGCAATATCAACAGAAATAAGAATGAATATGACTAGAACAATGAAAGCATTCAGAAGACGAATCGAAAACGAAATAAAGAATAACAATATAATACTTATAACTGAACAGGTAGATAGGCCTAATATCCTCTATGCCGAATCCTTACTTAGGTTCTCACTGCCTAGAGTTAGAAAATGTAGAATACCTTGAACCGGGATCCTGTGAGAAAAAGAATACTAAAAAATGCGGATACCTTTTCTGTATTGTGAAATGCATGGCAGTGTCTGGTGTTTGGCCGCATTTGGCCTCTGGAGGAAAATATACCATGAGCAGCCGCCTAAAATATCAGACTTCCTTATTGCAAAGAAGTGCAGCAATGTGTGTGCTTGCGTCCATGCTCATTTGCAGTAATAACGATAATTAAGCAACAGTTTAAGCAAAATATATTAACAAAGGTGCTAGAAGTACCGAGCTTCCTTAATGAACGAATTTTAAGTTGTTAAGAAGTTGTTATTATCTAGAGGGAGATGGAGTATTGTTACGAAAATATTAATAAAAGGAAATCAAGAAATCAATTAAGGATGATGAATGAGAAAATTCAGAAAAAAATGAAGATAATAGTAATGGATAATCAAATACGAAAACGTAAATTACGGTAAATGAATATAAATGAATGTGAAGTATTTTTTCTTTATTCTGAAACCTTAACTATTTCCTTACTGTCATATGTTAGAAGACCTAGAAGACCTTCAGCAGTGATTATATAGAGAGAAAGAAAGAAAGAAAAAGAGCAAGCAAAAAGAAGAAAAAAACTCAAGGATGGGGATTTCATATTTCGTGCGTTGCGTAATAAATGTAAATGTCAAGTATTTCTGCATGGCTTGGCCCTTGAAAAAAAAACGTACTATGAATAGTTGCCCCCTCCCCCCCAAAAAAAAAATGTAAAAAAAACATGAGACACTTAGATAGCATCATAGACGATTTATCAGGAATAATTATGTTAACTAATGAATTATATCGTAACCTGACAGAGACAGAGACGTTGATAAGAAAGAAAAACGGCAGTTAGATTAAGAAGATAATTCTGGCAGCACATAATAATAATGTAGGTCACGTGATACCAGTACCACCACCGTGGTATTATCTCTATGACTCATCATAAGTATGTTGTTTCACCTTTTTACCCTTGGTACAAAAAAGGAAGAAAAAAAAAAAAAATAATATGACAAATCCAGCCGTGCACGCTTTTTACCCTTAGTATAAAAAAGAAGAAGAAAAAATAGAAAAAAATAGAAAGAAAACATCAGAAAGAAAAAAGAAAAAATAGAAAGAAAACACCAGAAAAAAATAGAAAGAAAACATCAGAAAGAAAAAAAGAAAAAAAAAAGATGACAAATCCAAATGCACGCTGGCGATTGCATGACCATTTCGCTTTGCCTGCGGATGTCAATTTGACTTCATGACAAAACCAATCATGACAGAGCTCTCCACTGCGAATGGACGTAATAAAAGCATTTGGAACCTACGTGGCGTTTCTATATATAGGATTCACGTTTGGCTGAGGGACAAAAAGATATATTTTATTATTCTATTTGCCGATTTCGTATCATTATCCTTTTTTCGTCTCTTTTGTATCACCATTATCATTTTGCTGCGTTACTTTTTCCTTTTCTTTTTTGTCAGCGTTTGTCTGAAGCGCCAGATGCATGCAGTGCAGAGTTGCATGCCTTTAGACTGCGGTCATGCCATAACACAGCACTTTACATTTGTCCTTGAACAGAGAGATCTTGCAGGACAAAAAATTAAGGTCGAAGGTTACTAAACAACGGATAAATAATAATGTATATACATATAAATGGTAAATATTGGGGTGGTGGATATGTAAATAAAGGCAAGGATGAATAGATACATTGATGATTGGATAGATATACGGATGGATACATACATACACACATACATACATACATGCATGCATTTATTCATTCTTATATACATAAGCAGTTAAACAGGCACATGCACACAACTAGAGAGAAAAATAGACAAACATAGATAAATAGATAGGTGGACATAAACAGACACACACTAAGACTGACACAGCTCAAGAGAAAGATAAATAGATAGAGAAAGGGGTTAACAGACGACAAACGGAAAGGCAAATAGATACATACATAGATATAGATAGATAGGTAGACAGATAGACAAATAGACAGAAGAATGAACAGACAGAAAGATATGTGAATATCAAAAACTGTTCCCCAAATCCTCAAAAAAAAAAAAAAAAAAAAAAAAAAAAAAAAAAAAGAGATTTCGAAGCCCACCGAGCCGTTTCGAACCTCGCATCTCCTCGCTTCGCCTTTCCCTCCACACGTCTCCTCTTCCACCAGGTCTTCGTCGAGATGCCCTACTACGGCTTAGCAGACGCCGAGGAGATCGAGGGCACCGTGACAGGCAGTTACCTCAGCGACAAACCCGTGTCTGGAAATGCGAGTCTCACTCTCTACGTGAAGCAGCCCTGGACGCTTCCCGACGCTCACTTCGAGAGAGTCTCGTCGCAGTATTTTGAATATGTGAGAGCTCGGTTGTTTGCTTGCCTAAGTGTATTTATTAGTATTATTGCTATTATCATTATTATTATTATTATTTTCTTTGTATTTATCTTTTTTATTTATTTTTTTTTTCTACTTTTCATTCTATTTTTCTTCTCTCATTTTCGATTTTTTCCTCTTTATTTCTTGCATCTCTTTGCCCTTTGTGTATATAATCTTCGTCAATTTCGTTTTCTTTTTCTTGTCATGATGAATTAAGCTAATTAAGCAATTAATGCTATTCATGTGACTTATCTTATATCTTCACATATTTTTCTTTGCACTGTATATCTCTTTCAATTCTATTTTTTTTTAAATTCCACACATGTTTATCTTTTGATTCATTCACTTTCCTTACCTTCCCATTTCAAGCGTATCTCTCTTCCCTTCGTCATTTTTTTTTCTATTTTTAGATTTATTTCATAATTTAACTTTCGCATCCCTCAGGTGGACGTGGAAGAGGACTTCGCCTTCCCCATGGAGTCTCTGCTGGCCCACGTGGAGCAGCTGGAGGGCGCCGAGGTGAAGGTGGAGTGCGAATTCCATGACGTTTTCACCTGGATTAAAGCCAAGGGGAGCTCCAGGTAAGTGGAAAGGAGAGAGGAAAGAGAGAGAGGGATAAGAAAGGAGAGAGGAGAGAGAGAGAGGAAAGAGAGAGAAACAGGAAGGGAGAGAGGAAAGAGAGAGAAACAGTAGGAGAGGAAAGAGAGAGAAACAGGAAAAGAGAGAGAAGAGAGAGAGAAACAGGAAGAGAGGAAAGAGAGAGAGAGAGGAGAGAGACAGGAAGGAGAGAGAGGAAAGAGAGAGAAACAGGAAGGTAGAGCGGAAAGAGAGAGAGAGACAGAGAAGACAGGAGAGAGAGAGAGGCAGGAAGGAGAGGAAAGAGAGAGAGGAAGGAAAGAGAGTAAGGGGGGAAGAAGGGAGCGAGACGGGGAAAGGAGGAAGGGAGGAGGGGAAAGGGGGAAAGGGAAACGGAAATGAAGAAGGCAGGAAGAGAAAGAGGAGAGGGAGAGAGAGACAGAAAGAGAAAGAGAAAGAGAGTCAGAGACAGAGAACAGGTATAAAAGGCTAATAATGTCAAGGACACGTAGTGTTTTGACTGAGGGTGAGATCAAAGGTGACTTTCGCATCCTGGTTCAACTTTGATGATTCACCCTCTTTATGACTGTGATTTCCTCGGCTGTCTCATGTCGAAGGAAATTAGAAGGAGGACGTTAAGAAAGGGCCGTCGGTGCTTCGTAAAAGAGCCATGACGCAAGAGTTACGGATTCAGATGGATAAAAAGAAAGAGGAAAAGATGTGAGAAGAAAAAAAAGAGTGAGTGTGTGAGTGAGAAAGATAAAAAAAATAAGGGGAGAGATGGGACTGAGTGCAAGAGAGAGAGAGAGAGAGAGAGAGAGAGAGAGAGAGAGAGAGAGAGAGAGAGAGAGAGAGAGAGAGAGAGAGAGAGAGAGAGAGAGAGAGAGAGAGAGAGAGAGAGAGAGAGAGAGAGAGAGAGAGAGAGAGAGAGAGAGAGAGAGAGAGAGAGAGAGAGAGAGAGAGAGTTTGAAAGACAGAAAATGAGTAAATCTCGCACAAAAAACATAGTTACAGATCGCAACGGTTAGTGACCCAATATGTTCGCTTCCAGAATGCGCATTATAGCCAACCGTGTCCACCTTGACTTCGTGGGTTCTCCGCCTTTCGTCTTTCGCCCAGGGATGCCCTTCCATGCCACGGTTTGCAACATTCTTGTTTGTTCTTTGCAATCTAAGCAATCTATTTCGTTCATAAAGCTGTGCGCTACAAAAATCGTGTCACAACTTATCTGAAACGATATGTTTTGAATAGCAGATGACAGTATGTTTGTATTGATGGCATATTGTTCGATATTTGATTGGTTGTATTACACCAGGAGCACCTATGTATGCACTGTATATGATTAATTACCTGGGAAAAAAGTTAATGATTTGGGGATCAAAACTTTTACACTTCATCACATTCTGCGTGACTAGTGAAACATTAAGAAAAAAAGAACAGCAAATAATGATACGACATTAACAACAAGAACACGCAATATCCGCAATGTTAACAAAGACTCTTCTGCTCGTAGAAAGGCTAACAGAAATTATACATTTCTATTCTTAACACAGACTCTTCTGTTAGTAGAGAAGGCAACAGAAATTACATATTTCTCTCTTAACTTCTCTGCTAGTAGGAAGACCGAAAGAAATAGCGCATTTCTTTTCTCGCCTTCGTTCCTTCCCCCGTTTTTATACGTCGTTCCATCCCCACAGGTGTCAGCCAGGTACGTGGACGGGGAGCCCCTCGAGGCGGAGCGGCTGGCGGATTCCTCGCTGGTCGTCACCGCAACAGTTGGCACCAAGAGCGGCGGCTCCTACGCACTCCCGCAGGTCAGGATGGAAGGATCGATGGTGTCCTCCATAACTTTGGGATCCCTTGTTGTTGTTTTTTCTTTCATTGATACAATAAATGATTTATTTTTCTTTTATCAGCATTTCGTTACGATTTCTCCTAAACATCTCCGTTAAGGATTCATAACATGCATTTTTATAAAGTTCTCTTCCGAGAGAGGGAAATGGAGAAAGAGAAAAAAGGAAAAGGATAACAAAAAAAGAAAAAGAAAAAAAAAACACGCTTCAAATATCACCAATAACAGCCGTCGTTCCCCTCCTTCCGTAGGTCATCGTTCCCTCAGCCACGACCGCCCAGCACGACCGGGAAGAAGCCATCGCGACGCTGCGGGAGGCCCTGGATGAGAGCCTGGCGGTGCAGGAAGGCGAGTACAGGACGGAGGCGGAGATTCCCGACCTGCTGGACTACTTCGCCGGCGATAACGTTTTCGCGGAGTACAAGGAGAGGGGCATCTTTAGGTGTGTTGGGGAGGGATTTTTGTGTGTGTGTATCCGCGTGTGTATGTATAAATGCGTCTGTGTACTGTGTATTTGTGTGTATTTATAGCAACATAATACAGACGATGAAGACATATTTCTAATCCAGATTCCAAGTGAACCCTCCAGCGGACGCCGTCAGCCTCTCCCTCGACGTCGTCTACAGTGACAGCGACTACCAGGGCGCCGCCTCTGCCCAGGCCAACCCTCACTACTCTCCAGGGGACAGGTAAGTCTTATAGATAACGATGGTAACATTTACATACTGTGGCTAAGGTGGTACGTCTTCATAGAAAGCAGCTCTATCCCATATGGACCACGTTATTTGGAAAATCATATATTAGTTTGTTTTCCCTATTGTAACGTCACTTATTTGATACCGATACCAGATCTTAGCTCTCTCCGCTTAAATATGCATGTGTCTAGAAAAGACTGGTCTCAATTGTAGTATATCAATATGGCTAACAGTAGAGTAAATGATAAGAATATAGTAAACAAGTAGTTAGGTGAACAGTTTACCCAAACGTCTACATTAACTGATGCAAATACATACAAACATATCCTTATTTTGTCTCTACTCAGGTACATACAGGTGACGTCCAGCACACACGAAGCAAAAGTGGGAGAATTCGCCGTCTTTCACGTCAGGACGAACTTCCACGCAGAGCATTTCGTGTACATGGTGAGTCCGTGATGTACTCCGGGCTTGGTGTCGCCGTTGTCACACGTGCTATCTATCATCTTCATTAGGAGTAGTAATATAAAAGGGGGAGTAGAGGCCATTCTAAGAAGTAGAACATAATGAAATAGATAACAGATAACAGCTAATAACAGCAGTGTTTCGTGTTCTCGTTGGTGTTGTAATAATGCTCGTTGGTAGAAAAACACAATGCGCGAACTAGGTTTCCAATAATACTCGTTGTAATTATAGTATTACTTGGAGAAGTAATAGTAAGTGTTGCTGATTTATCATTGTTATTGCCTTTTTTTCTAAGAGCAGTAGTAACGGTAGTGTTAATTAGCATTGGTACAGTTACCACTTTTTTCCCTTAAACAATTACGCCAGAATTGGCAAATGGATTGTTTTGAAAATAATGAAAACTTTCGCCTTGACCGAGATCACAACAAGAAGCCCTCACTCCATTAAGATAAATCACCTCAGCCTTAATTACAAATACTCACTTGACCCCCCCCCTCCTTTCTCCTCAGATAATCTCCAAGGGCGTGGTGATTCACTCGTCGAAGGAAGTGACCGGCGGGGACAACGTGGTGACGCTCAGTACGACGGTGGGGCGTGCGATGGCTCCTCGGTTCACTATCTTCGTTTACACTGTCACGGGGCACGGGCACGTCGTGGCGGATTCGATCTCCTTGCCCGTCCAAGTGCTGGCTGACACGAAGGTTAGTGTGGGGTTGGATTCTTTTCAGCTTCGTGTGGTAACAGAGAGAGAGAGAGAGAGAGAGAGAGAGAGAGAGAGAGAGAGAGAGAGAGAGAGAGAGAGAGAGAGAGAGAGAGAGAGAGAGAGAGAGAGAGAGAGAGAGAGAGGGGGGGGGATTAGAGTTGAGAAAGAGAAAATATGAAATTGATATAAAGTATCCCGTGCCCTTACACTGATCCGCCAACCTACCACAGGTACATTTGTCGACGAACCAACATAAGGACCACAGCAAGAAGACGGTAGAGCTTGTGGTAGGCGCGCCCCCTGGTTCCTTCTACGCTCTCACCTGCCAACGGTTTTTAAACTTTAACAAGCAACATCCAAATGCTCTTTCGCACGCCCGCATTGTCGATAAAATGTCTGAGCTCGAGCCAACGCGCAGGTAAATCTACCGGTTTCACTAAGACAGTATGGCATCTCTGAAGCTTGTTGTAACTCATTACTTTCATTTAATTTACTCTCTATAATTTGTGTTATTTCATGTATATATGATCTGTTTAACGTGATTATATTTGAAAATATCATCGTGCAAACGCAGAGTTTCATGTTATTAAAGTTACCCATAAAAGTTTATTTTCTTTGAAATGAGGGACAATATAGAAAACGGCTCCCATTGACAGATAACTTACATATTTATCCATAATACTGTTATCTGCTAACAGTGTAAGACACTCATGGTTCTAATAATTCTATTCTGCAATTTCCAGATCTCTCCACTCGGTTCTACACAAATCCCGCGAGGGAGAGTTTGCAGACCGCCTAGTGAGTCTACCATCGCCTAGTTATGGCCAAGATGTCCTGGCCGCTTTTCAAGACGCTGCACTACTTGTCCTGACAGACATCAAACTCCAGCTCACACCTGGAAACGGTACTAGAAAAAGATGAATACATACTCCGTCAAGACATATGAATTTGAAAATACCTAAATAAGTTTTACGTCAAACAAAACCTAATCAGATCTCTAAAACATTCCCCAGTCGGTTCGTGCAATCTTACAAGAGGCTTCTTAGAATGCGGAGATGGAACCTGCTTTCGACACCATCAGCTCTGTGACGGCAAGGCTCAGTGTGCTAATCAGGTCGACGAAATGGGATGTGAGTCTTAAATCCCGAAGTTATACATCCATAGGAAAACACAGTTGTGACAAACTCTCCTATAAATAATAACGATATATATATTTAAGATAATGCTTTATTTTTTCCCTTTTTACAGGTAAGCCACTGTATCAAGACTTCCCTCCCGACCACAGTCAAAAAGAGAGTAAGTCCTTTCGCAAACAGATCACAATTCGTCATGTTTATAGCCTCGGGGGTTGTACACATTGACAACATATCCGAAGGGGTTGGCGTCGCGGCGGTAAGACGGGGTGTTGGAGAGGAACATGCTAACGCTGTCAAAGTCGTTCAAGTAGCTCCTCCAACGCTCGAGGTTCAAAGAGGCTGGAATGAGGAACCCGCTGGTGCGTCCAAGGCAGGAGAAGGCCAGAACCAAGAGCACGAGGGTTGTAGTTCTCATTGTAGTGATTTCTTGGTCAATGCCGACTGAGGGTGACTGATGTCGTTGGTCTTCGTGGCGGGGTTGTTATAGGGCTGAAGGGACAGGGGATAGAAGGTACTCGGGTGCAGGAGGCGCTGGGGGAGGACTGGGGCACGGGGACGCGGAACCTGCACAAAGATCAGCTAAACACGGTTTATACATAGTCATTTTCGATTATTTTGTATATAGCGTAATATTTTTA